AGAGAAAAGACAAACAGAAAGGTAGCGAAGCTGTTTCAAGGCGGGTAAGACGGGAAACCTCCCGAAGATCTCATCCGGTGTTGAGCTCCGAACGGATGCGGGACGACGTCGGCTGCAGAGACCAGTCCGTTCCTGACCCTAAAACCTCACGGGTCTCACCAAATTAACACAGAACCATTTTTCTTTAAAGATCAAGGCGTCGTGCTCTCTCCGAAGCCGCGTTCCCATTCGCCGACATCCCACACCGGCCCAGGCTCAGTAGTCCCAATCCAGCCAAAAAGACGAGGTGCGGAACCCGCTTAGAGACACACAGGAGGAGTCTCCTCGTAGGCAAGTTCATTTGGACCCGCCGGTGACTCTCCTGTGGCCAAAAAGCGGGAGGTAAACCTCCAAATCCTGCAGATTGGATCCTGCAAATCCGTCCTGCCCACGCGAACCAGGCAAGCGGCTGTGGTTTGGGTAGCGTTTTCGCAGAAAAGTGGAAGTCGGTGTTAAATTTGGCAAGGGGAGGGACGCCGGGAGGGAACTGGAGATGCCAAAAAGCGGGAGGTAAACCTCCAAATCCTGCAGATTGGATCCTGCAAATCCGTCCTGCCCACGCGAACCAGGCAAGCGGCTGTGGTTTGGGTAGCGTTTTCGCAGAAAAGTGGAAGTCGGTGTTAAATTTGGCAAGGGGAGGGACGCCGGGAGGGAACTGGAGGGATGTTGCTGCGCTTTCTCTGGCTCACGCAGCTGAGACAGCTGCATTGAAAAAGAAAATAAGCATCGCTCTGACGGTCAAAGCGGAGATTCCCAGAATGCCCACAAGGCTGTGCTAGAGCAACCAATCCTGGAATGTCGCTCAGTATTGCTTGTTAAACCCGGAAGCTGGACTGGAATAAAATTCAACTGCAGAATTTGGACTGGAGTGTCAGAGCATCCCTAGGGCGATGAATTCTACCCGCAAGGGATTTCTGACTTTCCCACCTTCTCTCCCAAAGCCTTCTGGGAATGCCATGTGCGGACTTGGTACAGAGAAGCCACGTGCCCCTGGGGAGGGTGCAAATTACCCAGCCTCCTTTGCTCCACCGCCTCCACCACCCAAACAAAACGGAAAATGATCTAAGGCACCTTTTTCCCCTTCAGCTCACGTTATTTACGAACGACACACAAAGCCCCAAGGCCGCAGTTGTAGCAGAGGAGAGCTTGCTCATCGGACATCGGAAGAATCCAATCTATTATTCTCTTCTTCTGATGTCCAGGACCAAGCCCCGTGCCCCTTCCGTGCACCGAGGCCCCTCCTCTCTGTGCCACCCCCAAGCAGCCGCTCGGGTGGGCTTGCCTGGAGAACCGGCCCCGGCTCCAAGAGAGCCAGGCTGCAGCCGAGGTCCGTTTCTGGAGGCACTGCCACGGTGCCGTTCCTTCTGTAGGGATGCTCAAAGGCACTTCTTCTCGCCGGGGGGAAAGGCACCAGCAGTTACGTGGCGTACGCTCAATGAAGACCACCCTGGAGAGGTTAGTCCGGAGGGTGCCCTACACCCGATACATGTGGGGCGCCAATGCTCCCTCTAAGCTCTGGAGTCTCGTGAGCAAAGCTTCTACTTTGTGAGCTGACTGGCATTCAAGTGGTGAGCGAGCGATCGGGCTGCTGCATGAATCAGTTTGCTCTGGAGCCCTCCTTCCTGAGCTAAGACAAAACCCGTGTGAGCCGGAGGCTAAAGACCTGTGAGCTGGCTCACACTGACTCGGCTTAGCGGGAACACCGGTGGGGCGGCATCCCTAGAAAGCGGCTTGCGATTCAGTGACCGTGAGGGAGCCAGAGTCCCGGGCAGTGTTCCCTCTAAGCTGAGTAAGTGTGAGCCAGCTCGCCGTTTTTTAGCCTGCGGCTCATACTTTTTTTGGTCTTCGCTCAGGAAGCATGGCTCCAGAGCACACTAATTTATGCAGTAGCCGAATCGCTTTAATGCCAGTCGCTCAGAAAGTAGAACTGTTGCTCACAGGACTCCACAGCTTAGAGGAAGCACTGGTCCTCGGTTGCGCTCTCTCCCCCTTAGGCCGAGCCTCCTTTTTGGGAGCCGGGGGGGGCGGGACATCCAGCCAGCTCCCTCCCTGTAATTCGCACGTGCGGCAACCTTCTCTCGCACAGCTGCTGTGTCTTTCCCCCTGGCCTCTGCCCTTGTGGGTCAACTCTTGACTCTCCTGCTCCTGTACCCCTGAATGGCCTCCAAAACCCACCTAAGGAAGGGGTTTTCTCACCGGACATCCTCTACTCAGTTGCCTCCGACTTTCAAAGCCAGAGGGACTCCTCCTGCCCCCAATACAGGGAGGCAGTGGCGGCGAACAAACTGAAGACCCGATTCTCAGTTCTGTCTCTCGCTCTAGATGTTGCCTGTAGAAAGGTTACTCGCACGGAAACCTACTGCTGACGCTTCTTCTTCGTGCAGTGCATACCCGAACGGAAACATTCATTGCTCCACCACTGAACAGTGAGCAACATTTAAAAGGCCTGGAAGCGGTGTCCCCTCTAAGTTCTGAGTTCTTGCGAGCTAGCTCACAGTTTTTTAGCCTCCGGCTCACACATTTTTTTGTCTCGGCTCCGGAAGGCTGGCTCTAGAGCAAACTGGTTTATGCAGTCGCCAAATCGCTCACTCACACCTTTAATGCCAGTAGCATTTGCAAGTGGAATTTGCAAGCAGAATTTGCAAGTAGAATTTTTGCTCACAAGACTCCACAGCTTAGAGGGAGCAGTAGTCTGGGAGTGGAAAGGCCTGGCGGAGATACAAGCGATGCTCAAATAAGTCGCGTGCTGTTTGGGCAAGCAGCCTTGGCGTGCATCTGGTTTGCCAGCACAAAAGCGATTCCCAGAAGAAGAAAAAATGTGCCCCGGGAACGCCACGGCCTCCCTGGATACGATCCTCTTGCTGTGCTTGCTGGAAAGGATATTTCCACCCCAAATTAATTCAGATCAGAATCCCTTGTAAATGTCAGGATTCATGTTTCTCTTCCCCCCCCCCCCAGGTGTTGGCAAGGGTGCGTGCCTTCCACTAATAGTCGTGGTACGTTGCAAAACATAGAATCCCCACATTTGCTAGTCTGGAAACTTTTAAAAAATTTCTCAGGGAGCCGAGTTGTTCTTAAAGGGGGGAAACCGGGACGGGGGGAGGTACCAGGCGTGGAAAAAAGAAACCTGGAAAAGAAAAAGGGATTGGAGCTCGAGGGGAGGGTGTTGCAAGTGTTAACTCAAACCAGATGAAAACTGTGGCTTCCCCCCCCCACCCCCCTTATTTAAAAAATGCCAAACTTCAAGCTAGAGAGACGGGAATGGTTGGGCCAGCGCCTGTAGCCGAGAGAGGTGTGAACCGTAGCCTTCCACAGAGCGGAACAAAAATGTGCTCTCCTTGAGACTGTAAAAATACTTCTAAAATATGTCAAAGAAGGGGGGGGGGAGGAAAAAAAGAAACCCCCAAATAGTTATATATATATAAAAATGGACCTATAAATAATATATTCTAAATATTGCAAGTTTTAAGTGATCCATTGTTAAACCAAAAATTCTTTCTTTCTTTCTTTCTTTCTTTCTTTCTTTCTTTCTTTCTTTCTTTCTTTCTTTCTTTCTTTCTTTCTTTCTTTCTTTCTTTCTTTCTTTCTTTCTTTCGTGTTCCGCCCTTCCTGCT